ATAATTAATATGCATTATTATCCTCTTAAATAAAAACATCATTGCATTTTCATAATTTTAAAATTTTAAAATACATTTAGGATTTTAACAAAACTAAGATGCACATCCTAATACAAAAACAAAGAACTAAAACGACCCCAAACGTCAATTTCCAACTCTAAACAAGTTAATTCACAGGAAAATATCGATATGGCAGGTGGGGTCATTGGAAGAGGTAACATCCGCAACACATAATCACCGCCGCAATTCATCAAAAAGTCCAAAGATCACCCAAGACACTGTCCTGTTGAGCAGCGGTGTTTTGCGGCTGTGATTGCCCATCGTACGGAATCTGGCACAACTTCATGTAGTTCTCGAAAGCCATTAGCTCTTCAGAGAGCTTCTGGACTTCATTCTCCTCCTCTTGAGCTGTCGCCGCCGCTGTCTCCTTGTTCTCTGGCTTCCCCTCCTCCTGCTGCTCCGCTTTCACTTGACCGTAATACTCAACACTGTTCACATTTTGGTCAACTGATGAGTGCGTTCCTTCCGAACCAGACCCAGAATTTTCCTCACCGGATATGACAATTGGCTCAGTAGCAAATGCCCCAATCTCGTTGTTCAAGTCATAGCCAAACCCATAACCACTGTTCAAATTAGCGTTTCCACCCTGTGGACAAACTGTTGGGATTGGATTGGGACTTGGATTCCACACAGTGGCTGAGTTATGGGTACAGTTGTTCTCGTTCCGGCGGTTCTGAACATTATGTTGGGCGGGGAACACATCATCTTCATTGGGAAAATTGACTTTGGCCTTTCTGCCGCGAATTTTCCGGGCCTCTCTGTCGTAGGCGCGAGCAGCTTCCTCGGCGGTGTTGAACGTTCCCAGCCAAACCCGAACGCCTTTTCTCGGATCGCGAATCTCCGCCGCCCATTTGCCCCAGGGACGTTGCCTTATGCCTCTGAACAGATTCTTCCTCTGCCTCTTCGGTTTCTTCCCCGCTTGCTCATCAACTGTTTGCATATATTCCAAAATCAAAACCCACAAAATAAAAGGTGAAAAAAAAGACCCAAAATGGGATCAAGGAACTAAAACCGGGGGGAGAAAATTGCTTTTTAAGAAAGAAAATGAACCAGAAAGTACCTGACGAGGAATGGGCTAGGGGTTTTTCAGAGTAAGACATTGAATTATCACAGCAGGTTTGGCCGAAATTGAAGTTAAAGTTGGGATCTTTGTCGAAAGGGGAGTTGGGCCAGAGGTCATTGGCGGTGACGGGGCGCCGCTGCTGGCTGCGGGAGATGAAATCAGATATGATTGCACCGCCACACATTTCTTAAAGAAAAAGAACAACTATTGATTATACTAGAATAGACTAAGAATTTCAGGGGAGAGTACTGAAATCGATAGAAGGAAAAAAAGGGGTAAGAGCAGTAATGAAAGAGATGACAAGAAAAAGGTTCGGAGGTTTTTGAATGGGTTCTCTAGGATGAAGAAAGAGGGGTTTATGTAGGAAAAAAGAGAGGATACCTGAGGAATTGTGGATTTTGGTACTTTCCACAGATTTACATTTTTATTTTTATTTTTTTGGTAAAATGTAAAAAGATAGATAAGGATCACAACTTGTGCTTTTTTTTTACCAAGAATTCCTTTAAGTCAAAACCATAAGTTAAGCCCCTGAACAAACATCAGAATCTCTATTAAGCCCTCATACTTTAATTGATGCATATAAGCCCCTAAACTCTATAGAAGCAATTTAGCCCTTATTCTCACAGCAACTTAACCGCTATTCACTGCCGTTAATTGCCATTGGGGGACTGCCTCGTTTGGCGAAATATGATCATCTCATACTTGCGTGGGATTTGACATTTGATTTGTCTACTTGAATAAAAAAAAAAGTTTAGAAATAATTTTATATTATTTTTTGTATAATTTTATATATTATTTAAATAATTAATTTTTTTATTCATAAGTTTATCTAACTTATATTTTAAAAACA